GTAGAGATCAGCCGGGTCACCCTCTGTCCTGAAACGACACCTCTGGGAAAGGGGACAACAGAAGTGTTTTGTCCTCACTTCCTTACATATCACAAGGGCAGAGAGACCGAAACTAGGTGACAGTAAGTGTCCACAATACAAACTGGACCCCTACAGAGTGTCTCTCAGACCTGGAGGATGAACGTGCTGGGTTCCGTTCAGGATGCTGTTTTTTATAACGAACGGACATCAATAATAAATTAACCTCAAGTAAGTAAAGAAACATCAATCATAAATTAATTAAATGGTTCCAGGAGAGGTACTGACCTGGGGCTTATTCAAGATGAGTTGGAAGTATTCTATCTTCCCTCTAACAAGGGAACACACACACAGACACACACACAGATCCATAGGCACACACATATACACATACATACACACACATCCACACACATGCACAAACACATAGCTCCCAGTCCTCTACACAGAATTCTTCTAGTCCACCACAGGAGATCTGGGTGAGGGGTTGGTTTTTCTAGCTGCCCTCCTAACCGCCTCCCAATCCAAAAAAGGTGGAAAAAAATACTCGCTCTGCCCCCACCACCAGCACAGAGATCAAAACAGCTGAAAGGGTTTTAATGAAGCCTCCCAGAATAGTCACCTCTTGGGCTGAAATCAGGCAGGAGAAATTTCAAAGGGTAATTTGGTGAGAAAATGATTAAAAGGCTGGAAATAAGTGGAAGGAGCCCTGGTAATACCTCTCTAATCAAACTGGGGGAGGAGGACGAGAAGCTGCAGGTCAGTAGAAGCCAGGCTTAAAGGAGTGACACGATACTCAGTGTGGCTCCCCACTGTTCTAGAGAGAGACAACTCATAGAAAGCCTAGGCTAAAGAATTCAATTCTGTCCAAGTCGCCAGTTCATCCCCTCTTGCTCGGCCACGTCAATGGCTTCCTAACGAGCTTCCCTGCAGCTGTCCTCTTACGGCCTAACTGAGCCCCAAAAGCTCAGAACTGCTCACCTCCTCATGAACATTCAGGGGCTCCCTATTAAAAAACACAAATTCCTCTGGTTGACACTGAAATCCCTTCACACGCTGGCTCTCTTTCTAGGCTGATGACACATTCGTTCCAGTCCAACTGGCCCATCCACAATCCCCTGCACACAATAATTCACACGTCCAGTCCGTACTTCGGCCCAGGTCATCTCCTGTCTGAAGGGTTCCCTCTCCCCCTCAAGCCAACCCCCTTCCAACACAGCTCGAGCATATCTCCTGGTGTGCCCCAAAATACCAAAGGGCCTTTGCATTTCTATATGTATCTCCTCCATTCATTGTAAACCTGCTGTTCCCCCTCTCCCAGCAGAAAATTCTCCAAGGCAGGGCCTCTCTGGTTGGTCTTTGTATCCCAGTGCCTGGCACATAGTAGGTGCTCACACAGAGGTCAGAAGGAGCCATACAAGGACACTCTCAAGTTCTCCCTGAAGGGACTCTGGAATTGATCGGGAGACATGGGAGACACCGGCATAGGACCACCCAGCATGGCATGCCGGCATCAGAGAAGGCGCCATGGTCTATGAGTAAAGCAGAATCGGAGTAGCTCAAAAGAAATGTGAGATGCGCAAATTTAGAGACATCTCCACCCCAAATGTTCATGGACTATCTGTGCCTGGCCTGCGGTAGGGCCTTTCAAGCTCGTATTGGCCTGACCAGCCACAGCCAGACACACTGGGCCTAGAGCCCCTCATCGTGAGGTCCTCCCGGTCCTCTGAGCACCAATGACAACAACCAGGTGTTCAGAGGTACCCGCTGATATTAACGGCACAAGCACTGATGAGCCCGCCCCGTGCAAAGCGTCCCCCAGAAGCTCACGTCTCCAGGGCTACGTCACCCAGAGGCTATGGTGGCTTCTCTCTTTCGCTCATTCAGCTTGTGAATCGTCCACAGGAAGCCATCCTCCAAGCCACCGTGGGCCAGGGCTCCTTCTTGGGCAGGCTTTCAATGAGATGGGACTGCCTGACCATCATCTTGCCAGTTACCAGAGCCAGAAGGGACCTTAGAAATACCCTTGTCCAGGCCCTTCATTTCACAGAGGAGGAGACTGAGGCCTAGTTGGCAGGACCCCCCTTTATTTAGAGTACAGATCACAATGGAGATAAGAGTTTAATATTCCACAGGAAAAGGGCTCTCCTTTCCTGCTGGTAGCCAGCTTCTGGAGGGTTTATGAGAAAAGGAAAAACAGGCCTGCCTGGGAAGCCTACAGGTGGCGTGAACAGTGGAGACAAGCCCTAAATTGGGACTTCTTCTAAGGAATACCCAGAAAGCAGGAAGCTTCACATTGTGACGAAACCCATTCTCCCACCATGCCAGAGTGCCAGGGCGTTCCTTCTCCCTCCTCCCACTGTCGTCTCCTGCTGTGCAGAACCCACCAGCACCCCACTCACACACACCCACTGACATCAGTCTGGGCCAGACACAGAAATCCAAAGCCTCCCAGCCTTCCCCTCCACCCTCACATCTCACACCAACTCAGAGACCCACCCAAGGCGCCCCCACAGACACTGGTGCCACGGCAGCACTCTCCCCCTTCCCTACAATCCGAAAGGGACACTCGGCCCACTCAGCAAGCCCCATTAACCTCACTCAGCTCCAACAAGATGCCCCGAATTACACCATCCCCAGTCCCAGCAGGGAACTGCTAGGCGCCCACCTCCCCGGTCCAATTATTTACTAGGCTCTGCTGCCCTCCACACCACACACAGAGGCCGACCTTTCCTCCTGCTCTCCCTATCTGATTCAGGGAGCCCCAGCACAGCAGATGCTGGCATCATAAAAAATCGTAACAAAATCAAAGTAAACACTGTTCTAACAAGGTGTGTGGTGGCTGGGTAACCGCATCCTGCTCTGGGCTCGTCACCACACTTCTTTCCTTTCCCACAGCTTACTGAGATCTCTCCCAGGACGCTCGTCTGCCCCTACCAGAAAGCCGGGCAATGCTGCCCACACCAGGGCCCCCCCCCCAGCCCTCCAGGCTGTTAACTCTGGAGGAGCAGGGCTAGATGTCCAAGCACCAGGAGAGGGATTGCAGGGAACAGGAAGCAAAGGAGGGCAAGGCAAGCTAGGAATTCACCACCAAGTCCCAAGTTCACATTTAGCCTCTCCGCACTGGTTTCCACATAGGCCCCAGAATATTCTTTTATGCTACTTCAAGAGAGGGCTAATTTCCAGGCCCCACCTGAGGCAAGGCAGAGGGCATGCCTTCATGCTTTAGGGAATCAGAGAAGGGTGCAGCCCCCAGTGAGTGGGCAGAACAAAGACCAGAAATCATAGCAGGATCCAGGACACTTCTGATGTCCAGCTTTGTGCTAAGAGTGAGGGTCATCAGTCCTTTCCCCTAAAATGGGTCCCTTCCAAAGCAGGGGCTACATACAGAGAGAAGTCAGAAAGGGTGGTGAGTGATGGGAGGCTCACACTATCTGAATGTCTTCGAGGAAACCTCTCTCGGGGAAAAGGGGCCAGTTTTCTTCAGCCCTTTCCACAGCTGCCACTTAACAAGCCTCTGAAAAGTATTCACGCCCCAAGCCGATGGCAAGGGGCACCCCGAGGTGCGGGAAGGCCGCAGTGATAACAGGAGGTTGATGGCCACAGGCTCAGAGAGCCCAGCGGCTCCACCCACACTCTGGACAAGGATGGGGTTCGCTTGAGACACTCTGGGTATCTCTCTCCCCCTTCCTCCCGCTGCCCCCGAGAACTGCAAAGGAAGTAACACCGGGAGAGCCGGGAGGAGCCCACGCTGGGGAAAGAGAAGGTTGGCAGCCACCTGTCCTGTGCCCCGGGCCCCGCCGGGGACCAAGCCTTCCTGGCAGCAGGAGACAGGACACTGCAGCAGGCGAGGGCTGCAGGCCAGACCTGCGTGAGGGAGGGGGTGAGTCTGTGAGACGCCCTGCTGACAGGGACGGCAGAGAAGAATCCTGGGGCCAGACCATCCTCCACATGCTCTGGGGGGCAGGAAGCAGAGCAGTTAACAGGCAGGGCACCTCTACTATGTGGGCACCACCCCCACGGCTCCGATAAGAGCAAGGTCAGGGAACCGTGTGTGTCCCCCACGAGACAATCCATCTCACCCCATCTCCAAACCTTCCTCCACGAATCCCACGCCCATCGCTCTCTTCTCCCCAAGGCGGCCGTGAGCCCGAGAACCTGCCAGGGTCCAGCTTGGAACCAGGACCACCCGAGTTCAAATCCTGCCCGTGTGGTCCTGGGAATGGGCTCCCTCTGGGCCTCAGTTGCTTCCATAAACAGAGAGGGGTGGCCTAGATTCAGCTCTGAATCTATGGTCCTCTGATCTTCATCTGTAAAACGGGGCTATAATGGTACCCAGCTCACAGCTGTGAGCCTCCAGGGAGGCAACATGGCAAAAGGGGGTGCATTGTGAAAGGAAGCCAGTGCGAGCTTCCACGGGTCGTGGCGGTACCCGCCTTCTCAGCAGGAGCCCACAGACTCACCTCCCAGACTCCTGCCCTGACCTGGGGGCATTCTGACCCCTCTACTGCCCTGGCATCCTCGCCCAACATCCCACCCCCCACCTCCAGCTCCCAACCTAGGTTCCCATGTTTGGAAGTGCTCCCTGCCCCCACTGCCAACTGGGAAGGAGCCAAAGGAAATTCTCGAGAGAAACAACAGCATTTCCAAACCCTTCTTCCCGCACAGATAGCCCAGATCTGTCGAGTCTGAGGAGTGCTGGAGGGAGGGTGTCCTCCCCACACCTGGAGCCTCCCCACAGGTTGGCTGCTGACTCACCGGGTCAATGGTTACTCTAGTTGGGTGGCTGGGTCCATCTGTCCCAAGCCTGATTTCAGATCCAGAGCCCTCCTCACTTCCATGCCATCTTGGGGCACCGCCTGCCCGCCCCCCAGCAGACTCTCTACTTCTGGTGTCTCCACCAGAACCCAGCCCGGACCTCCTCCAGATGCCTTAGTCCCCACCCCTCCTAGCAGTCCTGGGCTGGAGCCTGGGATCCCCACATGACCCCTCTGCAGTGGAGGGGGGGGGGTACCCGACTCAGGGATCTGGGATCCACACTCTGGGAAAGGAGCCTCAACACTGCACAGCAACTCCTAAGCACCCCGAAAGCAGAGCTGGAGTGCAGGGACAGCAAGCACGGTGTGGAACCCCAGAGCAAGGGCAACCCAGAGCTGGGCAAGACAGAGGCAGGACCCCCAGCAGAGGCTGGGCCCCCAGCAAGTAAAGGACCCCCAGCAGGGGCTGGACCCCGAGTAAGGGCAGGACCTCCAGCAAGTGCAGGACCCTCCCAGCAGGAACAGGACCCCGAGTAGGGGCAGCACCCCCAGCAAGTGCAGGACCCTCCCAGCAGGAACAGGACCCCGAGTAGGGGCTGGACCCCCAGCAGAGGCTAGACTCCCCCCTCCAGCAGGAACAGGACCCCAAGTAGGGGCAGGACCCCCAGCAGAGGCTGGACCCCCCCCCCTCCAGCTGGGGCGGGACCCCTCCCCAAGAATCCCTGGCTGGCCCCGCACACACTGCCTGTCCCGGCTGACTCGGGCTGGGATGGAGCCGTCAGGAATGTCCCCGCACACAGTTGGCTCGCTGGGGAGACAGCCCGTTCACGCAGAGGACCGAGGGACCCCCGCGGGGGCGGCAGGTGCCCTGGGAGCCCCGGGCCGGGCAGAAGCGCGGGGTGGGGGCTCCCCGAGTCTGAGACCCCCACCCCTGGGTCCCCCCACGGGCCGGGCACTCAACACCGCAGGGCGCCCACTGCAGGAAAGCCGGCGCCCCATCACTCAGTCAGTCGGTGGGCAAGCACTCAGTAAGCGCCAGCTGTGTGCCGGGCGCGGGGCTGAGCCCTCTTGGGGCGGCCGGCCGTATGGGGGCCAGCGCCCACCGGCCTTCCCCCCGCCACGGCAGGGTCCCCGCACCCTCTTGTCAAGGTCACCGCCGGTGTCCACCCTCCCCCCCAGCAGAGCTCACTGCCCCGTGACCTTGGGCAAGTCCGTGCGGCGGCCGGGCCTCAGTTTCCCCGCCTGTAAAAGGAGGGAGCGGCCCGGCGACTGCCGCGGTCCCTGCCAGCTGGAGCTCAGGGTCCGGCGAGGCCGGGGCCGGGGGCCGCGTGGGGTCCCGCGGCCCTCGGGCCCCCCCACGCGCGCCCCACGTGTCAGCACCCCGGCCACCCCCGCACACGCGTGCCCGGGCCGGGCGTCCCGGCCGCGCCACCCCCACGCGTGCCCGTGGGCCGGCCCGCCCGCGCTTACCTCCCTCCCGCCGCCGCCGCAGGGCCCGGCCCGCCGCTG